CCAGTGCGCACGGCCGGGGGTCAGCCGGGAGAGCTGCTTGGCGCTGGGTGGGCTGCGGCGCTTTTCATGTGCGGCCAGGCAGCATATAAACTAGCTGTTCTTTCAGGTGGTTAAGTAATGTTTACACGGTGCTGCTGTTTGTTCACAGGTTTGCTGTATACGTGTGCTATATTTGCTAACTGCATTTTCTTCCTACGTGGGGCGTGCACAGTATCACACAGAAGCAATCTACGTCATGTTGATTGTAAACTATTGCTGAAAAAGTAAGATGGAGGAAAAAGAGAAGAAAAAGCATCGTGCAAAGCATAGCGGGCCAAAGGCAGAGAAGAAAAGGAAACGTTATCTCAATGACCTGGGAATAGGAGATGAGGAGAATGCACGGAAGAGAAACCCCAAAGCCTTTACGGTCCAGTCTGCTGTGCGGATGGCCAGAACTTTCCATAGGTAAGAAATGGGAATTGGTTATAGAGCATGCAAGGTCCGCTGGATGGATAGGTGTTGGCTGGAGTTTCCTTGTTACTTTGTGTAGAAATACGCATAGTGTAGTTTTCACTGGCGTGCTGACATAGCTTTCATCATTCACCACGTTGTGTTTTAGTTTATGCGTGTGTCAGCAGTGTGATGCTTTCTGCATCTGTGTTACATGGTACAGCTGTGTTAATGGAAAAAAAAATGTGTATAGCTTCTTAAACTTGGTGGGAGTTCCATATACATATTAGTATCTGGGCTCTTGGTGAACCTTTGTGTGTCCAAGCTTTTGCAAATACTGAAGACTTTCAAAGAATACATGTTGTTGTTTTTTAAGTTCTTGTATTTATTCGTTACAAATTTCTTCTCAGAACTCAGGATTTGAAGACTAAAAAACATCACATTCCTGTGGTTGACCGTACTCCTTTGGAGCCGCCTCCTGTGGTGGTGGTTGTAGTTGGACCTCCCAAGGTCGGGAAGAGCACCTTAATAAAGTGTCTTATTAAGAACTTCACAAGGCAAAAGCTGGTTGAAATCCGGGGTCCTGTTACAATTGTTTCAGGTGAGAACAAAGATATGAGAAATGGAAATGCTTATTTTGCACTTTGTATTTGGCTTGCTTTTGGAGCTAGGATGCGTTC